TGTCAACTCAGAGATATTTTGTTTTATATGAAAAATACTTATCATTAATCTATGATCAAGCACAAACAAAGTGGAAAAATAACAACAGTCATCCAACACAACAACGTCTGTCGTACACACGAAGTCATAGCATTTTGCTTTAGTTCAAGTTGTCCGATGAAAGCAACCCATTGTTAGTGTTACCGATTGTTTATTACAATTCTAATATCCTAACTACGCTACAATGTTTTTATAAAGGTTTTCGTACATTACACTGACTCTCGAACATTAACATTTTAATAGAAAAATACTTTAAATAACCCGCGGCGTTAGATGTTCCGAGGCAAAACTCGATCCTGACCAACCTTCGGCGAATTGTCAATTGTCATAAGTATTACGTAATGTGTACGTAACAAACCTACATAAATAAATAGCCGAGTGAACTTTTAAATATTTTTCTATGGCATAAATATAGTGTTGTGAATGTCAAATTTGCCAAATACAATAATTGAAATGTCAACCTTATTGTGTGTACATTACGGTACAATTTTATAATATGTAGTTATTATCAAGTTAAATTAATTGTGTCTTTTATATTTGACAACATAAAATGCAAATAAAACCTAGCAATCCAATTATAATGGACCACTTTGTCTGTACCGTTGAGGGACATCATAATTGTTTTAAATGACATTCACATTATTTTTATTTTAAAACTAGCTGACCCGACAGACTTCGTCCTGTCAAAAAGATTTGTAATGTGGCAGTTTTTTTGCCTACGTATTTAAAAAAATTCTCCTGAACAGAACCGTCACCCTGGTGATAGGGCGTTGTGAATAAAAAATAATTAAATAAAACATATATAAGGATTTAAAAGTAAGTAATCGCTTTATTGTTAATCATGTGAATCATAATTATTATTGCAATGTATTAATAGTAATAGTATTAAATTATAAAAAAAGAGATTTTTATGATCATAAAAACACATTACACACAACAGCATTATAAAAGTAAACTATTCGAATTAAAAAAATATATAAACATTCTCAAGGAAAAATGCTGGAAGAATCCATCTACCTGTACCCCGGAATGGGACTCGAACCCATTCGCGATCCAGGGACTGCTCTAACCAATGAGCTATCTAGGACCCAACAGCTTTGCTACTACAGAGCGTATTTTCATCAATGTTCCGGCAATACATGTAATGACGTGGAAACTGATGCATTTTATCTCGCGTGCTGAAACTAATACAAAAGAAACGCGAGTTTCGGAACGCGACATTAAACTCCTCCAACTATGTATTCTGTGCTCCAACGCACACACGCACATTGTTTTGTGATAGATATGATCTTTGACGTTAGGAACACACCTACATTGCTTAGACAACAGTGAGTGCTTGTAATTTAATATGAACTTTATACCATAGCAATAAAGCTCAAATTGACTACGTTTTAGTTACAAATCATTTGTATGGGAAAAAGAAAAGGGCTATTTTTAGGGTTTTTCCAGCAATAATTCTAATTTTTCTCGCCGTAAAAACCATCCTTGAACTTCAACGAACATTTTAAAAAAAGATTTGGCCAAATTGGTCGAGGCGTTGTTGAGTTATGCGCTTACCAACACATTTTGCGATTCATTTTTATATATATAGATAACCAATGTTTGCCGACGCTACAAATCTCAATATATCACACGTGGTTGACGCGTCACATAATACGTTAAGGAATTATTCAAAGATTTAGTGTGGGCGGGTACAGTGCGCGTGTAATGTGCGAATGCCTTAATGACTGCATCGCGTCCGATCGCATCAATTATAAGATGACTTCGTCATTTATTCCTATCATCAGAACGTACCCTACAAATATTTTCACATCGTCAGTCCATAATAATACACTTTTTCCTTTTATAATAATTTACACAATGAGCCGTATAGCCAACACTAAGCTTCACAAATATTTAATAAACTCATAATTTCGTCAATCATACATAACAAATGTACATATATAATTAATCGAGTCATACCCTTCGAGGAACCGAACATGATTATCTAAAATGTCTACATTTTATAAATATAACTTGTTATTATCGTATCTTAAACCTTAATGGATACTCATATTATTTAATTAAACTATTAACGGGTTCAGGAATCTACATAAATACAGGCCAGTGGTATAACTAGACGTGGGTGAAATGGACCCCGCCCAAAAGACGCCACGTTATATAATATATATATATATATATATATATATATATATATATATATATATATATATATATATATAAATTTGTCAATTTTAATTATCATAAAATGTTTTTTTATTGGTAAATATTACCATAACCTTAGAATTAAATTGATTTAAAATACAGAACAAAAAAAAAGAGTACTATTCGCAAGTGGCAGGTTCCGCATACTACAGCATGCGGTGGATGGCATACGCCCTATGAGGCTACGCTCAGTTGGCACTTTTTTATTACAAAATAGAAACCTGCCTTGTACAATAATATAGACAATAGTGAAACCAATAATGTATCTAATGGAAAATTAAAAATAAAATTATAAAATCTGTGATTAGTAAGATTTCAAACTGTTAATTTATATTTGCTATGCGTATGCCGATTTTGATACTAGCTATTTTACAGGCACATTTTAAAACTTGTTTCGATCGCAGGAAGGTTGAATTTTAATTTAATTGAAATGTGCCTTGCACATAATTTATTATTAGTTTCGAAGACCAATGAGCTATTATGTATGCATACGCTGTAGTATCTTGCAATGTGTGAATTTAGTTACACCGGCATGGTACTTTTACTCTTTTTTTCTGTTCTGCGATAATTTCGTATAATCTCGCCTTAAGAAATGAAACATGCCACTTCGCCCACGTCTACAGATATTTAGAAATAGCAATGCAAAATTCACTAAAGATGGGGTATTATTATAATACCTTTTCCTTTCATGCGACGGACCAGTCTGACGGCTCCTAATATGTATATGTATCGAGGGAATAGGTCTACATTTATTATTTTTCTAATACATTCAGTAATATTTTAAACATCAAGAAGTCGATTCCCATATAAACAAATTAATTATGCATATCCGGTTTCGTTTTATTTGAAAGAAACTACCTTACGTTTGTTATTACCTTCTAATATACGACACCGACTTTACCATTTTACTATTAAATATCAAATTAGTCCGTCTAATTAAAAATATTAAACAAAATCACGTTTATATTCCCCTGGCACATTCTTAAAATAATTTGTATAAAAAATTGTATTGCGGCGTTACACGCGTGTATTAATGTTAGTATTTCTAATAAAAATGACCTGAACACGATCTTGAGTGTTACATTCACTACAGCTGCAATATTGACGAATATTACACTACATTAAAGTTAACAATATGCGGCATTTTACTTTGCTACTTGTTCCCCTTCCCCCCCCCCCCCTCTCCCTCGCACCACATCCACAGCCGCCATATTGTGACGATAAACTGGCCACTCGTAACTCACATAATCGCTAGCTAACAAACGACATGATCCCGTGTCGTAATAGGATTAATGGTCGGAGGCAGCGGAAGAGCATTCAAAATGTACCGTTAAATAACTAAATTTATATTATCTTATACAAAATACCATTACTTACCTAACTTGTGGTGAAGGAGACCGCCACTTGGACACGTTAAATATTGGATAATATCACTTACTTTGAACAGTGCACCAATTAAGGTGCCACAACACCGAGACACAAAACAATATAGAGAAGTTAATTTTCTACATTGACTCAACTAGGATTCGAACCTCGAGTCGTTGCGCTGCGGAGGTCGAGAAATATAGATACAGTTGATAGCTTTTATGAAGAGTCATAAATCTCGTAATTATTATTCGGAAAGGGACGTCCTCATAATATGGGTAAAAAAAAAAGTAAAGTTATTGATATTACAAGTAATCTCGGCGGCAACGTGTCCGTACCAAGGGCGTGTCGTCAAAGTTTAGGTAAGTAACAGTGTACACGCCCCCCAATATACCTAAATATACATAACTATAGTTACACTAATGCAGCACTCGGTGCTTCGTTAAGCCGCTCTCTTAGTCGATTGTTGCGCGCACAGAACATTATGTGCCACGCACACACGGACAGCAACAAACAATACGAATATACAAATATATTTAAAAATTACATGTACGTCACACACACTGTGATGTTCGATGAAGCGCCTTATAAATTTACGCAACAACCTGCGGGCTGTAGGAAATGTAATAATGCATAGGCATATTAATTGCCACTACTGTCCATTATGATACCTTAAATATATTTCAGATGTATAATACTAAATGCAAATTAGTGCAACACGATGCTGAATTATCGCTGATAATTAAAAATCACAGTACATATTGATATAACATTAGATTAAAGTACCTACTGCTTCTGGTCATTACACATTAGGTCTCTCACTATGTATGAAATGGATTTAGAATAACTTCTGTTTTCACGTATACTCACAAACAAATAATATCCAAATGACAAACGATAACAAATTCCAATATTATTCAAGAGTATCTTGTAGTTGTAGACATAAAAAGCTAAACTTACCACAACTACATGAATGCAATTTTCTCTGTAACACAAATAAAGATCTAATATGATGTCAGACAAGTTGGCAACACCGGACTCGTTCAATATATTGTAATGTCACTAGATGTGGAACCAACCGCTTCTACATTACACACAATACTAAATAGAATGTTGAATCTATTACATAATTATTTTTTATGTAATATAAGGTGACGTAGTAGTCCGACATACACATAATATATACATATATATAAATAAATAACAGGTAAACAAGAGCAATCAATATAATAAGATTCCATGGCATCACTTTAATCCGTCATCCTGCCCCGTTTTAATACAACAGGCTACCTGTAACAAGAGTATTCATTTACATTGTACATCATGAATGATGAACGACCATACAGTATGATCAGTGAGAATTCCTTCACGTACGTGTAGCTGCGTGTGGTCTAGTTGTTGAGCCAGTCCCAGGAGTCGTCGCTCTGTTTGTGCGCGGTGGGCGGGGTCGGGTGCGGGGGCGGGCGCGCGGGCGGCGGGGGGCTGGACACGCCCACCCGGGACAGGTCCCGCGCGTCCAGGTTGTTCCGCGCCGCCACTGACTCCTTCCACGGCTGCGTCTGCTCGTTCCTGACGCACGGACAGGTGCAGTGTACAATAACAATCACACACACACACACACACACACACACACACACCTGAACTCGCTGTTACTTCAATATTGGTGTAGCAGTACGGGTGGGTAAATTTGAATTTGATAAAACATACAAAGTTGTACCCGGTCACTGTGTCATCGTTTTACTGAAAAGAACAATTTCATTCGAAAATCGCAGTTAACGTTGCTTTATATAACGTGAATAACATAGATTATAATATTATATCATTCAAACTATTGTTGGACTAGGTGTTCCTGGTATACTCAAACAGATAATAAACCAAACACACATCGTAGCGATGCACACAACTTTGTTACCCCCACCCGATAATCGTACGCAACGTTAACATTACGACTAATATATGTGTATGCAGGTACTTTACCACTGTGAATACGGCTCCGAGGTGGAACTCTTCATGGCTCCGTACGAGTGCGTCTGGTGGGCGCTCGAGTTGGAGGCGCGCCTGCCCCCCTCCCCGACGCCGCCACCCCCACCACCCACGCTGCCGCCCAGCGAACTCCAACCACCACCCCTGTTTACCTGAACCACCAAACAGAAAAACAATAACAACGTCGTCTCACACACCTTTGATTACAACTCCACGCCAGAATAGAACGTTGGCATACCTTCTCTGTGACGGTGGTGGCCATCTCGGAGACCTTCTGCGTGGCCATCTCGCCGTACCGCACCGCGTTCTCGGTGCACGTACGCGCGGCCTTGCTCACCGACGACGCGAACATCGACCAGCCCTGCGCACACAGACCGACCAAACATCACGTCGACGTATATTTCATTGAAACTTTATATATATATATATATGTAGGACGTACCGAGGCGAGGGACGCCAGGGTGTTGTCCACCATCTCGTTGCCGCTGTGTATCGGCGACATCGGCGTAGACTGCGACTGTTTCGGCGTGTTGCCGAACCCCGTGTACCGTCCGCTGCCGTACTCGCTACTGATTACAATACATATACACACATCATTTTGTTATACTTATAAGTGTTGTACACGTAACACCAATTTAAGAGATCTATCCGTGTGTATGTTAGGCAAAAATGCAAAATAAAAATAGTGGGTGTAATCCAATATTTATATTAAATCACAACAAAAATAAACAATAAACAACTCGCAACGGAGTTTGTGTGTTGTGAAACCGAATGTAAACATTGTTTGAATCTTGTGAAATTTTGTGTTTATTTTTAATTGAAATGAATCGACTTCTAATACTTTTTCAAGGGCTTCGAACGTTTGAGCTAATCTAAGTTACGAAAATAAATACATAATTAGTATGATTATAATATAAATATAAAAATAAATTATGAGTCTCTTCAGAGCAATTCGTGTCCTTCCAAGTAGAACGATTCGGCGACATGTAACGTACTTTACATTAATTCTAAGTTCACTAATTAGTCGAACGGGTGGAGGGTACGTGTGCGCGCTGTGTGTACGCAATGTATGTAGCATGTACTGACTGGTAGCTGATGTTGTTGTCTGAGCCGCTGGTGTGGAAGGCGTTGTCACCTGACGAGTAGAAGTCTCTGGAATTGCCCCACTCGGCGGCGGCCGCCGGCTTCTCCGGCCCGTCCGGCTTGTAGTCGGCCGCCGTCCACGGACGGCCCTCCGCCGCCGCCGCGATCTACGACGTGTACACAACCACAGGACTACAGTACAGTTCAGCTGACCAACTAATTTTACAGGGATTTGTCAAAAAACACTTTTACAACGAGCCCATTCGTTGACCGTGTCACACATTTCATAAATCGAAACATTATTTTACTCTATAATTTGTACTCGAGAAGCGACGGCCGTATTAAAAGTTCCCCAAGTAGCACAAAACACCATTATATCAAACTTATAATAGCACGAGTCCAAGCGTTAAGCATTATAATAAAATCGTATATCAACCGTATTTCTTTTAAACGACTCTTATACGTAAAATTTGGGCCCCCCCTTTGTACGACTTTAAGCTTTATAAAAGCTGTGCAATAGCACTACAACTTTTGTATAATAGCATTAATAAAGTCGGGTAAAAGCATTCTAATAGCCACAAAAAGTTCAATTAGCACCTTAAAGTGCTAATTGAACTTTTTGTGACTATATTACAATTGATATGCGTAAATCAAAATTATAATACGTTAATTTAATATTATAAAAATGCTTACTGTATTATTTCCTTTGTAAAAAAGTATATTTAATAGATTTTAAAAACATATAATCGGTTTAAATTATTGTTTTGTGTAAGTGTCATGACATGTTCTCTTGGCTGGTCTTTTAAGTATTTTTGAATATTGATTTAAACAGCTCGTTTTGTGTGAAATAAGCTGCACACATCAGTTTGTGGAGTAAAATATACAAGTTTATGGTGTAAAATACACGCGCCTTCGCAAACTTCCTTTAATATAATAAAAATAATAAATAATTTAACCTAGTAGCAAAAATTTTTGTTGAATTTTAGGCTTTTTAGCATTGTTTTAACAACATAACTGCTTTTAAAGGCATCTGTGTACAAAATAAATGATTATTTACCCCTTTTCATCTGACACAGTTGACTTTAAATATTTTGTAAGAATTGGAAAAAGAAAGCAAATGGCGACTCGTAAAATTAAAGCATTAGGTATTCAAATATGGTGTAGTAGAGCTGTTAATCGTATTATGGTTAGACACAAAACTAAGAGCTCGTAATTCACCGTATAACACACTCCCATTTTAGTTACAGCCGTATTTTTACACTTCAGAAGTATCTTATAGTGCTTATAATCATCAAACGATTATTTCATTTTTATTTTGATTTTTAAAAGCTTCAATTAAATTAGAATACTCTTTTTTCAGTTTTCATTTATATCCACCTGTTTTCTTTGTTTTTTCCAACGTTTTTTGTCCATGGCTCCAGCGATGCGTATAAAATGCCACCATTACAATACAATACATAAAATAATTTTACATTTTAATTTCACATAAAAAATAATTACGATCTATTTATTACTTCTATCTCTATAAATAACTTAATATTGATCAAAATATAGCTTAATGTTTTATAAAAGCATAGATTAAGAAAATATATAGGATAAGCATTAAATCGATACAACCATAGACCATTAGAAAACCTTTGTTTCTAGAAAATGACTAAATACAACTAAGTGCACTAAATCGTATTACGTTAATGCTTATATAATATATAATGTTTTTCATATCACCGAAATACGATAACAGCTTTATATTAATATTACCCAATACTTAAATAGGAGTTTTGACATTGGTATACTTTTTTTATTAACCATAATATGGCATTAAGCATTATTAGATAAAATAAATGCCTTTAAACAGATTCGAAACTTGACCAGAGCTGATTAAAAATGTTAATATGACTTTAGGACATAAATCGGTACTTATTTTAGTTAATATATTATTTATGTGCTACTTGGGTCATTATTATATTTACGTTACACGTCTGTCTTTGGGATACTTTGCTGGTTTCGAGGTGTCGCCATCTCTGAAGTCCCTGGTTCGATTCTCGATCTGGTCAATGTAGAAAATTAATTTGCCATTACTGAAACTCTATACTAGGACAGCACTGTGGTGATTATTTACAGGACATAGCACTGACTGAATAGAACAGCGGCCGAGTGTTACCTTCTGGCGGTACATAGCCGCCGCCTTAGTGTTATACTTCTGAAGTATAGTCATCCCCGGCTTGTAATCAGGTTGGCTCTCGAAGAACTCACGCGCCTTCAAATTGCCACCCACCTGTGGGACGCAACAGATATGCTGTCAGATCAAAGCGGACCTTACACAAAGTTATTCCAGGTGTATATTTAAAAATATATAATTATGTGCATACGGTGTTTCGACTAAGATAATCTTGCTTGTTGCCAATCGTCTAAACGGCTGTGACAAACCGACTCCGACGTGACATTCGATGGACATGTGTGCCTTTGTCGGAACGCTTCATGGCAACCAAATATGTGCATCACATATTACACTTATTAATTTTTCCCATACGGTGATGAGGACACTCACGTATTTTATATTTAATCAAACAGTGTGTAGATTATAAATTAATCCAAATAATATATATCCATAATGTTTTTAATAAAAAGAGAACTACTCATAATCTGTATAACATAACATAGCGATTGTTCTTAATATGGACCTAATGACTTGTTAATACGGAATTACAGATACCTCTGGTATTTTTGAGAGGTTTAAATTAAATTATTATTACTAATCATCTATCAACACACTCATACACCTCTTGTGAAGACGAAATAAATAGATAATATTCATGATGATATCACTGTTCAACATTTTTATATTCTTTCGCAATAACCAGTTATTTTCCTATAAAACATATTTCACTCGTCGAGGGCGCAATGGCGGGCAGTTAGCGCGATCGGTTTGCATTACGGTTCGAAGCAATTTCGCTAAGGCTAGTCATAAAAGGGTGTAAAAAAATATTGCCGTCTGTTAGCCGTCGTTCCCGGCCGCATCTGCACTTGTTAACACTCACCAACTCACAGTGGGCACATCCACATAGGGTAAACTGAATGAAAAACTAATCCCCATTTTTTTAAAGTCCACTTTGATTGGTAAGATTGTACAATATTGTGATTTTTTTCAGTCATTAATTGGCCTACTGTAATGAATGACATTATCGATTATTGCATGACCCACTTAACATAGCTGTGTTACACTCATTATTTGCAACTAAACAATAGCAATATTCATCAGTCTATATGTTAACAATAAAACAACATACTAACTTATTTAGATGATAACCATAAGCTAATAAACTCTTGTCATATCACATTCAGATTTCTCATGGAATGATAATGAATACCAATAGAATCAGAGAATTTAATTTACAAAAAAAAATACATTTATTGATGTTATTCAATACCGCATTTAATACATTATATAACAAGTTGAAAATTTGCCATTGTAAGCAGACAACTACACAAAACTATTTGCACAGGTACTGTGCATTAATGCATCGCTTAAGAATGGTTTTTTCCAACATATCAAAACTTGCAAATAAAGATGATTATAAAGTCCCAGAAAAGAAATGACCAGTATTAGAAGCTATGGAAACATTTTAGGTGGTGCCATGTGCTGTTGTTATAGATCACCATCTTATTGAGCAATAGAAAACACCAGTAACAGTATAATTTACTGAAGGTGTTCAGTTAGCTATAACTAAACACATTCAACAAGGTTTGATTATAATCAGACTAATAAAACTTAAAACTAGCTTCAGAATAAAATAAAATTGTATCTTCTACTATCTTAATATTCCTACATGACTGCTGGCAGGGAACCAATAGAGCTATAAGACAGCAGTACAATATTCCAGCCTATTAAAATAATGTTCACAACAGTAATATAATATTAATTAATGCTAAGCTTTCATAATGAAAATTGGCACTCGCAAATGGCAAAAAAGCAAAACCACTTTAATATACATTTACAAACACATAATACAGACATATTTATTAAAAAAGATTCATTTGTTTAGTGCCAAAACTGAGTATCTAAGAATACATGTAAAACTCTAATTGGAACTAAACAAAACGTAACAATGACTATGCATACTTTATACCTATAACTAATATATGTGTGCAGTACTTAGAAATTTTAAAAGTGCTAGCATAATATAATATAACTATAACAATTAATGTTACTTATACAAATATGAAATTTTTGAGTTTATATGACAAGCTATATAAGGCAATATAATTAATATATCAGTAGCAAAATAATAATAAAACTTAATTTCATACCATCATTTTCTCAAGTTCTATATCTTTCCATTTGTCCATAGTAACAGATCGTACGAAAGACAAGTGGACCCCAAGGCTGCGGTGAATGCCCGAACATTCCAAGCATATCCAGATGCCATAAGTCACAGACACCCACTGAGGGTTCAGCGTACCACACTCGAAACATTTCTAAATCATCAATAAACATATTTTTATGCAATTTACTGACTTCTGTCATCAATCAGTTAAAGAAACATACGGAACAAATTATTCAATAAAATTACTTACGTGGTTTTCATCGGTCGTCTGTATGGAATTCAGTTTACGTCGGGTACGCGGTGATGCCATTTTTCAATCAGTAAACAAGGTTCTCACTCTATTTTACAAATAATATCGCTACAACCAGGCTAAATTACAACCCCGAATATCAAAAATGCAACAAAAACCATAAATGTCCACTTGGCAATTGCCTAAACGTCACCCGTCAACCTTCAGCTTTGCTATTGCCTTTTTATATTACATTACTCTTTGGCTATTGCATTCAATAGTACATGACACTTAGAACATAATATGATGACCTATTGTTGGGCACAAGCGAGACAGCTTTAAAAATGAGAATCTACCAAATTCTGCTTCATAAAAGATTCAAACTATTTGAAACTAATGGTTTAATTCAACTTTATAAACAAAAAGATACATTTGTAAAAATATAAGACTGATAACAATGAGTATCCTAGTATATCTTAGAATAGTATTAACATGGTAATTAACTCTCCACTTCTGTGTTTAGTTATTTTGTGTATCTGTGATATATGACGGCCTCGGTCAGTTTACTATTTTGAAATAAAATTTCTACGTCAATTAATTTCTTAATATTTTCATAAATATGCGCTGGAAAGCAAACACGTAGTAACTCAAAATTGATCTTCAGAGCTTCTGCTGTCCAATGTCGATATGTTTTTATAAATACATACACACACAATATGCACAGTCAACAGAATGCCAGAATGTACATATATGTTCAAAATCAACTGGAGAAATTTGATATATTGTGGTAATCTGAAATGAAAACTATTTTCTTTACACACACACACACACACACACAGAGAGAGAGAGAGAGAGAGAGAGAGGGAGAGAGAAATAGATTTATTTAGTTACAAACATGAGACAAACTACAAGCATACATAAAATTGACAAAAGGTTTTTAAATGATACAATGAATTTAAAAAAAGAAACGATACATAGGGCTGGATTGATTATGTCTCAATGTCGCAACAATAAAGGTAACCAATTCAGCAATTTGTCAGGTCCTTATCAAACCCGGCGCTGATTTCCAATTGGCTCCTTGCCGTTTTCTCGGCAGGTAGATGCCAATTTCTTCGAGCTCACGATAAAAAAAAACACAGTACAAAGAACTACATATAAACAATAATTATCACAATCCGAAAGCCCGTTACCGCATCTCACATTATTGTCCAGATTATAGTACCAATATTGAAAGATCCGCAGCAAATCTGCCAGTACACCGATGTCCCTTAAATTAGTCTACAGCACATCGTAAGATACGAGGTCAAAAGCAGGTCAAGAAAACAGGCGTAGACAACAGTCCTTCTTTTGGTGTAATACAGCACCGTGTGCTTTAAAGCTAGGATTGCATTCTCTGTCGAAAGTCCTGACCGAAAGCCAAACTGTGCATCATGTATGTGTAAATACTTATAGAGACGACAAACCAACTAACTATCTAGTACCTTGGCTATAATCATGGCTAGCGAGATGGTTTTATAGTTACAATAAGTTACAACAATAGGTATAACTATTGTACGCATGAGTTCACTGGGAAGGTAGGAATGACACATGCAAAGAGATAACAACATAGTCAAGACCCTTGCCAAGTGAGGACCTGCGTGCTGCAAATGCTCGATGCTGAGACCGTCGTGACCCGGTGATTTACCTTTTGACATTCGTTTTATCACATCACGCACTTGTGCTTAGGAGTGAAACGAATGAGATCAGTATCACAACAGGTCCCATCATCGATCAGCCCCAGCGACACAGCTAAGGACAACTCGGCTTTAAAATGTCTAATGTTTGCAATCGACACCGGTTCATCAACACCCCAGACACTAACTGGCAGGCCAGGCTTAATATTGAATTTGTTGGTGGCAATCCAAAATTTCTTAAAAGTATTGTTTGTTATTGTTTATTTGCCATTTGTTGATAGAGTCTGGCAAGCGAAACGTGTCACAAGAAAAGGGCGGCAATTTCAAAAATTCTTAAGCAGTAAACACTGAATGTAGTACCTGCAAAATAATTTTGATACTTTTATTAATTATATTTAATCTTAACATTTAGATATCAATTAAAATTATTTGTTTTGGAACATTTGACTAAAGCGTGACTGTTCTTAATTGTACAGTTAACAGCATATCAGTAGGCCTATTCACTAACTCAACTGACAACCAAGAATCGTCATCACCGTAAAAAATAGACACTTTGATTGTGTCAAAATCACTATTTCGTATTCTCTATCAATGATGAGCAATTTCGAAATGTCAATATCGGCATTCTCCACTGGACTCCATTTTGACACTTGATTTCGTATCGATAAACTGTATTAAAGTAACATTGTTGCAAAGCATATTTGAAGTCGTCGCATAGTACCTCTTAAGCCATTTGTTGTTAAATTAAAGCGAAAAAAAATACGTATCCAATATTTTTCTATTATCTGACTGACGGACTAAATCGAATCTTTTTTTTAACCCATTCGTTATACCTATTGGCTAACAGCACTTATAATATTAAAAATTCATATTTGTCATTAATTAAAAGGGTGTTTTTTGCAACGACTTCTTTGTTTTTTTGTAATGAATATGGGCGACTCTGGCCACATTTTTTTAATAAATGTGATGTTAGCCAATTTTGATTTCTGGCCCTTATATTTATAATGTGTTCATAACACATACATGTCTCCTAAGGGATTTTCATCACAACCTTTTGCTCTGATCCAGAACCACTATCTATCAAATTAAATTAGTCAATATAAACACCAGATTACAATAAAAAAAACATTTATTTTTGTTACAATTAAGTGCCATGGATAAATTACATAATACAGGTGTCACAAAATCATCATGTTAATCACAATAGAAAATTTAAGATAAGATTTTGACTATGAATCAGACTAAAAATACTTTAGTCTGATTCATAGTCAAAATCTGTTTCTAAATATTCTACACCTGATAACAATGACAAGGAATCATCAGAGTCACTCTCTTCACTACTGTCTGCACCAACAGATATAATAAATTTTTCAAGTTCGTTTTCAACAATGCCATCTTTTAATTTGTAATCATTTTCGACATTTAAAACATGATCAGTGTATTTCTTCCAGTCACTAGGGGTAATTAAGTTAAAACACTCTATTATTAAGTTTTCCATTTCCTTTCCTGGTATTCCAATGTTTCTGCTTGCAATTTTTCTTTTTGCTTGACTCCAAACCATCTCTATTGGGTTTAAGTCACAATGATACGGTGGCAGCAATAAAAGTTCATGATTATGTTCTTTTAAAATCTCTTCAGCTTCATATACAGGCAATGTTTTCTTATCATTAACCAAACACATTAACTCTGCCTTTGTCTGATATTCCTCAAAATGTATTCCATTATTTACAAGCCATTTACGGATATCTGCTTTGGTATTAGACATTATAGGCGGTTTATTGATTTGTTTTATATGGTAGCTGGCATTATCCATAACAATTACACTGGGCTTACTTAAATTTGGTATTAATTTTTCTCTGACCCATTTCATAAAGTTCGATGAGTTCATATCATCATGATAATCAGCAGATTTGGATTTACTACTGAACACTAATAATGCACCAGGCACAAAACCTTCCTCAGATCCAGCATGCACAACAATATGCCGTTTTCCAGAGGATATCTTTGTAGTGACACCAGTTGTTGAAGGTCCTTGCCAAGACTTTTTAACTTTATAATTCTGATGTACATAAGTTTCATCAAGGTACACAATTTGCTTTCCTTCGTTTCGTTTTATATTTATTTCTCTCAAATACTTGTGCCTCCATGCAGAAATCTGGTATTTTTCTATAAGCATAGAACGTTCATTTTCATTGCTTTTAAAAGAAAATCCATTCTTAAGCATAATTTTTCGTAAAGTCTCACGGCTACCACTGAATCCTATTGCATCTTTTAATTCATTGTGAAGGCTTCTTAATGTTGGAACAATTTTTTTCACACAGTAAAATTCATTTACTTTATTCCGAATTGCACTTAAATCAAAATTATCTAAAGCAGACACTGTTGGTTGATGAGGTCGTTTTTTCCCAGGAGTGTCCCATTTTCCTTTATTAATTAATGCTTCATTTTTTATCCTTCTTAGTGTCCTTATACTTACATCTATAAAAGATTAAACACTTTGAAACAAAGATATGTTAAATGTATTTAAAAGCAAATAATGATAGACACATACATCAAAATAATTTAAATACCTATTCAACTATGAATGCAATTTATGTTTAATTTAGTTAAGTTTATGTGCATATTTAGCATGTATAACAATTACATGGTTTGATTAGTTTCATGAATTCTGTGAATTTCCTTGTTAAACAAAACATTCTTATGACATCATTGGATGTCAACAATAAAAACCAATACATCATAAAAAACCTATGTAAATATTATAGGAATACTATCAATCTATCTTAAATCAAAACAAGAAAAGAGACCTGTCATTGAAGAAATTTTTTGTAAGTACTGCGTTTCCGAATTCAGCATTTCTTGTTTTTCTAAAGTTTTTATTGCATTTATCTCCTCCATTATTGGTTTGAATATCACCATCACAGTTATCTGAAATAGAGCAATATTTTATAAAAAATATCTGTTTAGTTAATTACAGAAAATTAAAACGAAAGTATCAAAATTATAATACAAAACTAACCTAAAAAAGATACAACTTTATCTAATCGTTGTAATTTCTCCATGAAATTTTTATTTAATTCAGTTTTCACTTCAGTAAACTTGTCAATCATGATGGAAAGAAGTTTCCTCGATGAACTTTTTATCGGCTTCGACATAATTTTTAACCAAAAACACAAGTTCAAATTCGCAAAAACAACAAAATTCAATATTCTTGAATTGTCTAACGTAGTGTCAAACTGACAGTTCTATGTTGTTGCCATATGAAAACGGAAAAATAGGTGGTGTCACGTTTCGCTTGCCAAACTCTATGCTATTGGTTTGTAATTCTATGATAGAAAACCTTGTACCTAGAAGAACCGGCAAGAAAGTTACCAAGGCTATTATTTTTCTCTGAATATAAAATTTATCAAATATAATGATGTTGTCTAGAAACAACCGAATGACCATATAAATCTAGGGATGTTTATTTTAGAAAGTCACTTCTGCTTCGAGTGATGTTACATGTTTTACCAAAACACTCATGCAGTAAGTATAATTTATTTTAGGCCTTATCTCTGTGGGACAAAATTATATATAATTGTCTTTTGACGTTAGGTCATTGTTATAGTTATTTCGCCTGCCAGAACCAAGTTTTTGAAGTTCTTCCAGAAGAGGCTATAGTAGAAAAATTAATGTACTGGCTTACAACACCTAAATAGACAGCGATTGACAGGGCTGCCAGCTGATTAAGTTAGGTACCTACTACATTCGTATAATTTGTTACCTTTTCTAGGTATACTATTTTTGTGAATAGAATTGTTTAGTGAATCTTTTATCATAGCTGCATATATTTTATTGATTTAAATTCAAAACCGTCAAAAGTTGTAAGATCTCGTATTAGATTTTTGAAGAAGAGATTCTTTCTTTGAAGAAGAAAAAGAATTCTATAAACATAAAATTGTAATTATATATTTTGAAATTAGACCTCTTAATCGTTTAAATTATCAACAAAAGTAAATATGTTGATATATAAGGGTCATATTTTAATAATCTATATTTATTATATCTTTGTTTGTCTCATTTTTTTTGTTAAATCGTGAAGTGGTATAAAATGAGTTAATTTTACTAGCAACCCCGGTGGTTGCATTCATACAAGTCGGGAACGGGGATAACGTACGGCATTAAATTCCTATCGTTTTGGTTGTTCGCATCGTTTTTACTAATAATCTTCTTAGTTGAAATCCCAATTTCATCTTTGACGAATACTTGGTGCTTAAACGTGCCAGTAAGGTAATAAGAAATAGGCCGGTTGTTCTCTGCCGGACTCCGGTATACGGAACATCCACACTTTGTTCCTGAGACGCCTGAAATGATAGTGCTTATATGAACGACGGAAAGATGAATACCAACAGCGTGGAAGCCGAGTACACCGACATAGCCAACCGTAATTCATGGCCCCTTGTGTTCCAGGTACGTTTACGTAGGTGTTTACTGTTCATAATTGTTTGCCACGCATTCGATAAAATTGCAAACTGTAAAGCGTTCATCACGCAAGAAACTATCAAAAACAAAGTTTGTTTAGTTTCTGCTACGACTACAAATAAATTAATTGAGACAAACAAGCGACATTCCGTTTCATACTCTCGTATTTTGAATAGAAAAAAAGTTGCCAAAAAGTTGTTTACGACATTTCTTTGAAGATTTTTCTTTTGCTTACCTACTTATATTCATAAGTTTCACCATCAAATCTTTATTATGACTTATGGTTGATATTGTTGTTTTTGTCTGTAGCTACAGTGTAAAAGCTTATTAGTACTAATTCTTTAATCTATTAGTACTAATAGCTTTCAGGTTATATCTGATATAGGATATTACATTAGATATGTTTTGTTTTCTTTATAGTTTGTGTACTCTACAAAGATTGCGTTTTACTTTATTAATTTTTGAACCAATTATTATTTACTGCTAAGCGATGGTACAGATAGCAGCACACATGCTGTAAGAAATAACATTAGTATCAAGTTTGCATTGGCTGATGACATTTGCTTTGCTAGCACTATTCTAAATTTTGCGTCCAGGATGATTTTAATATTGACTTTTATATGAAACTTTTGCATTATTAGACTAAAGATTGCTATTTCGATGATGTTGATTTCAAATCAGGCGAATGTCCAAGGGTACACCTGTGGATGCTTTATGTTTCCTTGGTGTGCCTATTTAGTGTTCAAAAGAAATGCTGCAAATATTTTTTGTTGTTCAATATTTGGTATTAATTGTATTTTTTTTTAATCCAATACTGAATAAGTGGTTCATTATTCTTGCCCGTATTAGGGCGGGGTGGAAGGAGAGCCTTGGTTTGAGTCTCAAGGTGCATTTCCTCTGCAGTAATAAAAAATTAATTTTTCATTATACTTATTCAACAAATACTTATCTGAATAAATAAAACACACTTATTTTATATTAAATGAACATAAAAACCATAGATAGGCAAAATAATTATTTCCATTCATCTCAAGGGCCCAAACAAGTACATTGTTTAAAAAATAGTGACTGACCTGAAATATGAAAATACTGAATAAATATAAAATAAAAACATTACTTTTAAATCTTGGCTTCCACCATCACTGTAGCTAACCGGTACTGGCACTGTTGTTACTGTGGTAAAAAGCATTTGATACACTAACAAATGTTATTTTTTGGTAGTCTTGTAAATACTGGTTTGGTAATAAAAAAGTCACAAGACATCCGAAGAATTGAAAATATATTGGCACAAGATAAAGGAAGATTGTGACACTGATAATATCGGAATCCGGCAGTCTAAAGCTAGACTTTACTAGAGATGTTGGCTTTGTCTAAATCCTGGCAGCTTTGACTTGTATTATATTTGTACCCATGAATAGTCTAAGCCATAAGGAATACAATGTTTTCCTCATGCGGACAATCTGGCTTTGGCCTCATATTGTCGGTTCTATTGAAGAACTCATCCAGAAAGCACTACTCTCTATGAAACAAATAAAGAATTACCTCCTAGCCAGTCAGAACTATGGCACATATAGAAAGCTTTAAACAAGTCCATATCTCAAGTTTGCTTCTGAAAACACGACATGGTTAAATGAGGACTTCTTTAGGATTGCTTAATGCAATGCACTTGCAATTTATTACCAAAAACAATGGCGCACCTATATATTACATAGGATACAGAGGCGTAGCTACCGCCGTATCAATTATACGGGGCCCCCGGGCAACATGCGTAAGCAAAAATTTGTAAAAACTTTCCAAATTTCGTTTTATTTCAGAAATGACAAAAGTAAAAAAATAAATCAAGTAAAGCATGCGTTTCAAAATTGGCAACACCATACATGGTTTTCGCGGACTCCGGGATTTCTTTCTTCATTTAAGTCAATGGGAGAATCTCAGAATAATCGATGTACATAGGGTTAAAATTCGCACAATCTATAATAATAATAATCATTTAATCAAACATTTATTTTCCGTTTGTGAGAAATATCTACCCTCCATAAGGGCCCCCAAACAAATTTTTATACGGGACCCCAACAAGGCACGCTACGCCACTGACAGGATATGACACTTTATTGATTGTTCTAGTGCAGTGATTCTCAACCACTGTGCCGCGGCACTTTTGTGTGCCGCCAAATTTTGCAAATATATAATAATGTTAATATTATTAAATTATATCATTTAAAAAGAAAAATATTTTTAACATGAATACATATTTAAATCCACAAAAAATAAATTATTATTTGCTTTGCAGCGCGTTTTTTTCTTAGTGCCAAATTATGATGAAGCGGCGTGCATAGCAATAGGAGTCTCAAGTCGGCGCACACTTCTGCGTACAAAACGTGTTGTTTTAGTGATAGTTGGGATTCACAAGATGTTGCATAGTAGTTACTGCACCTGTTCTTTCGTTAAAATTGGCAAATGTATGTGATTCGGTTTAATATTAATTTATTTGCATGTAGTGTCAATTTATAAATTTGTCAAATTTGTAAACAAAAAAAGCTTTAAACATATTATTTAAATTTTTCACATTTTATTTGCGTGAATTCGGATTTTCAGCATTAGCCAAAATTAAAACTAAAAAAAGATCAAGATTGTTAAATGTAGAAGACGATATGAGAGTAGCATTGTCATTTTTACGACCAAATACAAATGAAATTATCAAAAAACATCAAGCTCAAATTTCGCATTAAAAATATTTTTATTATTAGCTTGTAATAAATCCCTTAATAAACGTTTAGTTATTATTGTAGTATATATTAGTTTATTTCGTATATTTAAAATTTTTGTCATAAACTATTTATGCAGTGTGTTGTAGTAAGTAAATAACTTTTATCTTTTTCTTTGTGTGCCGCGAAATTTTAAAATCGTTAAATATGTGCCTCAACAAAAAAAAGGTTGAGAATCACTGTTCTAGTGATTCATTTTATTTTACTACTTTAACATTTCTTCATCTTTTAAAGAAATGATCAAACTTTTCATTCTCTCGAGATAGACGTAATATTATGTCGAACTTCACGGATGATTCATCGCTGTTTTGTTAATCATGTTTTTCTTTGCTCGGATTTTCTGATGATGATGTGCGAAATATAGACCCGTCAACGATACTGCTTGCTGATAATATAGATGCCACCGTAGCGTCTTTTCACTCGCATGCTCTCTCATACCTTGTTTTGTGCTAATAAAAATATGTGTCTACATCGTAGTTGATGAGAATATAGAGCCAGAATTAGATAAAAAGTCCTTTCTACTGAAACGGGTTTATGAATTGCGCGATATTTTTACACAATGTTTATAGATATATAATATGAATATCTTCCACGGCGATAGAAAACCGAAAATATTGTCAAGTAACATTACGGTGCGCACTAACGGGGTGCACTTAACATTAAAATTAGTGTATTAGCTGTACTGTATCAGCCGCGAGCGAGTGCTTGTATTCGTCCGCCTCTACAGCAAACCCAACACGAAATACGCCAATCAACGTCCGACCCACGTTTATACACGGATCATCATTACGTCCGTCTGGAGTAACTGGTACATTGTAGTGCTTATTCTCTGAATATATGTTGCAAATACTTCATAGAATTAATAACGAATTCATATAATTCTATATTACTTGTAATATTTGAGGCTGGTTCTCTCTTGAAGTAAATAAATCCCACCCCCATACCCACGCTGTTGACGATCTATTTCCTTAATTGATAAAACACCTTTAGCACATTATTTACAATGGCCGACTGAACAATATTATCATAGCGAAAATTAAAAACAAACGCAATCAATTATTCAAAATATATATGCTATTTATTTATGTTTATGTTATAGAAAAACAGTGACAATGTCACAACAAAAGTTATTTAAGATACGAGTGCGGAAAGTAAGGTATTACGAGTAAGGGCCAAATTGGAAACACGAGCGTAGCGAGGGTTCTCATTGGCACGAATTCGAAAAACCTTTTACGCTCAAGTTTCTTACAACATCTTTCAATGCTTTTTGCGAGGAAATAAAACAAATATATATGTTAATAAAACTAAGTATGTATTAAAGATAAAATTATTTGTTAAAATTAAACGTGATATTTGAACATGTTTTCGTGTTATAAATTTTTATTTGAAAATATTCGTTCTAGGCTCCTTGAAATAGGTACTTTTGCCTCCAAAGTTTGACATATTTTCATATTTTTTTAATTTCTTTGGTGCTCGGCCAAAAAAAATTAAAAAAGTACAAAGCTCTCTGATTCTTGAGCGTTCATATACCTGAGACTTTTTGTACTTGACTCAAGCCGTTGTCTAAACTAGCCCCGATTGTATATGTTTTATCATTAGCCACACACCACTAACGTCGCCACTAACCATTAATGTATTCAGTAGTAGAAGAACATCCGTCTCAGTAATCATCAGCGAGTTCGCTAGGACCACGACTGATGATACTGTTGTCCGATACAGCATACATGGACGGGATACGCGCTGTCACTAAGCTTCAGTTTAGTAACACCCACACTAACCCCCACATTACACAGTGTTTTGTATATATTAAAAATAAAATTATAATAAGGAATAATTTGATTGTTTGTCAACATACGGGAACCCACCATCATACGCGGGTGACATAGGCTCTATAATTCATGTAGGCGAAGTCGCGGGAAAACATACGCTGTCTTATAATGATGTCCACCATTAGTTTATATAAACTTGTTCTGCTTTTGTAGATCCCCGACACAGTCCGTGCATTGAAAGGGGTCAGTTAGTTAGGTACAATGCTATTGTTAAATGCGGCACAATACATCAAAGAAATTTATATAAATCGTTGGAGTTATTTCATGGTTCAAATGTCACATATTTTACTATCTCGTTAAATTTAAGGAAGTTCCTCAACGACTGGACTATTGATTTCTATACAACTTTTATTTTCTTCACTTGTTCAGTTTCACTACCTTTTTTTTTAACGTCGAGGAAATGCATTAGTTGTGTGGGACTCTCCTACGTGAGCCCACCCCGTGGCTAGCCGCGCGGTGGGCACCCGAAGGCCTACCGGCCACGGTTCAGATTGTCAGAATGCTTATTGCCGTTTCGAAAATAGTATCAGATCTATGTGTGTCAATGTATGTGATCAAAGCACCAGTATCCCCGTGAATTATGTTTTTACACTTAGTATGGGTTTAGTACTATTTAAAAAGCCCTAAATATGGCGGTGAACCAGGTCGACAAAATAGGATAGTTCAACTAAATGTAGACAATTTTACGAACTTTTCCTTGTAGTTTACGAACGCATTCGACAATATATGCTCATTCAAAACGTTTGCGGTAATTATGTATATCTTATCTAGTGCCTGTGTTGTGTACGCTCTTGCCTGTTATATTGTTACTAGAGAGCGGTCTGTAATCATTAACGGCCACCAAACGGATCAGCAGTTCTATTCTGTAACAAAAATATCACCAGTTTCACTCGACGTCAAGGCTCACTCAAATAAAACGTACTTCAAAATGTAATAAAGGCATATTGGTGCAGAAACTACCGTACGTACTACGCTACGAGTTTAAGGCAATTTTTATTACAGAATAGTATGGCTGTTCTCGGGACCATATTGTTGCTTATGAAAAAGTATAGTATAGTTTATAACTTTATGGACAAAAAAGAATGCAAATATGATATATCGGACTTCGCCCGTTGGGTAGGCCCTCCACCAGGTGGACCTACGATCTTATAAAGGTTGCCGGAAGCCGCTGTATGCGAGCCGAGTAGGACCGATCGTCGTGGATATCAATGGGGAAGGCTTATGCTCAGCAATGGGCGTCGTACCGCAGTCGATGATGATATTCATTATTATATTGTGTATGAAGTCGGTATTGTTATATTATTTTATAAAATGATTTATGTATTGATTTCATAACAGAAAATCGGGCGAGAATGTCAGAACTATACGTACACGTGCGTGGAGGCAAAGAAGCCTCAGAACAAGCCCCTGAACCGCTACCGGGACGTGAACCCGTACGACCACAGTCGCATCATCCTCACCCGCTCCGAGAATGACTACATCAACGCTAACTTAGTCAAGGTAAGCAGCATCGCACACATACACCACCTCTACCATCTACAGAACACTGCCGTAGCTCATTTGGTACAAACGTGGGACAACTTAAACGGCATGATCCAGCACGTTTTATCCTAGTTATACATTTTACTTTTGGTATATCTTACAAAATCCTACAAAGTTTATATAGGTTAAAGGTTCCATGTATATATGTATATTATTACTAGCATTTACCCGCGACTTCAACCGCGTGGTATTGTTACTTTGGGCAGCATATCTAGAAACGCTCAAACAAATATTCATACCCGAATATAAAGTTTCGTGATTTTATCTTTGAGAATGACGAACTTCCATACAAACTATATATCCCTATTTCAACCTTTCTATCATAATAATAAGCAACCTATGTCCTATCTCTAATCAAGGGTTAGCCGTAAGCAGACCTTTCGCTAAATAAACGGATAATTTATCGATTCTCTTTGTCGCTCATTATATCGTACAGGAGAATACCAGACAGTTACCAAAATAAATATACTAAGAACAATATAAATAACAATCAGGAAGTATTTTAAGGAAAAAAGAAGAAAGCACTAAAAAGCACCTCACTAGATGGCGACTCTTTTGGTAGAGTTGATTGTTGCATAGAACTAACATATTAAAAGACTGAAATTTGCAAAATTCGAAACTTAGATATCAACATAAGTACTAAAAAGTACAAATAGAGTATGAGTTGGTTATTGAGTTTTGAAAATTAATTTACTTTTATACATGAAAGAAAACCGGCAGGTTTGTCATGGAGAAATCAAGAAAGTAGCGACATTTAGTTTGATTTCGGGAACTACTGTTTTTTTTTAAATACTTCCTCATTGCCTTTCAATCACACAGCCGCTTTTTTCGGGTTTAAATTGAGGAGATTTTGTGTGTGATAATGAAAACAACATTGAGTAGCCAACTGGGCAAAACATCCGTCCAATTAGGCGGCTAGCCCTATAACAGAATATCGCCATTCATTTGCACGGCTAAATGTCGATCAGCTGAGTGAGCATCACAACGTCCTTCTACAGTCGCTAGTCGGGCTGATAAAGCCCAAGGAATTGGTTAACTGTCAAGGATCATACGAAATATACAATTATAAATTTGATTAAAAACAAAATATCCGCGATATCAGAATAAAATTACTATGATGTTCAACTTCAAAGACACTACAACAAAAAGCTATATTTATTTATTTAAAGTACAGCAACAGCAACACATGTTATTAAAAGACTAAGGTTCAATTTGTTTCTAAGGTTTCAGTACTTTATCCTTAAAGCTATTATATTAATCCAGTTTGAAATACAGATGGTAAGGAAAACATAAATGTAAACTTTATACAAAACATAATCGACAACATAAGTATGCGCTAAATTCTTTGAACGTAACGATACAGCCATCTAGTAAAGCAAAACTTAAGGTATTTTTTTACTACATTTTAGTTTAAATCAAATAAAATTATTGTTTTCCATAAACTTGGGAGTCTTGCTTCACTTGACTCTGTACGTCTTTTATAGTAGGGGAGCCCAAGCGGGGATTTCGGGATTTACTAAAGCGCGGCAGATTAATATACAGGGGGATACATTGTACCAAGTTAAGTACCTGGACAAAGTATGAGCCCTATAAAAATGGCTGCCCGGCGAGGACGAAGGATCAGATTAGTAAAAAAAATGATCATCTGAAAATCAGATTAAGGTAAGGTGAGCTAGTTACATGCTAAAATGTGTACACCTCTAATCTGACAATTTGAGAGTGACGTAAAGAAGGGGGAAGGCCACAAAGTTGTAAAAAAAAAGTCACTTTGACATTCCCGAGCGTGGCTATTTTTATTTTTTATTTTGAAGGGAATCATTCAAGGATTACGAAAAATATATAATCTGACGATTTTCACAAGCCGAAGTAATAAAAATTCATCGATAAGATTTAATGCAATTTCCTTCTCCGCATCACTATTTCTCTCTCACTCTTTTTCTATCTATTACTCTCTCACTCCGTCCCCACTCTGGTTTTGGTTGCCATGACGCCATGACAGCTGATGACACAGACTCGTTCGTGGCGTGATATTGTTTACATCGTATTTCCAACGTTTTTGCTTATTTTGTTATTTTAATGTAAATTTTGTGAATTAAACTTTTTACATATTTACTAAGAGAAGAAGAGGAAGATGATTCTAGCGATGAAGATGATAATTAATAAAAAAAACTGTAAAAAATAAATTTTCATATAATCATTTTCTTATAAATATATGTATTCTACATAAATAACATACTTTTTTTTATTTGCATGCTAACTCCGGTGCTGTTCTATTTAATTAAGCTCAATGATTTGAAAAAGTTAAAAAAAAATTAATTGTCAGATTAAGTAAATCCCTTCAGATAATCGTCTGATTATGAGATATCACGTCTGGGGCATAAAGATGAACCATATATATCTTATTCTGACGCGCTTGAGTATTTCAAAATGGCGATTTATTTTTTTGTACATTCTAATAATGATCACGCGTTTGTGTCACATCCAAATCATCAGATTATTATAGGAGAGTTTTTTTAGGTTCACTTTACATCCCCTCAAAAAATCTGACGCGCTCGATAATATTTTTTTTTCATTTTCAACCCTTACTTATAACCACCCCCATCATGGAAACGATCAGATTAACATACGACAGTTTTTAAAAATGCGTAGGACATGGATGATATTAATATCTGACGCGCTCGAGTCCATACAATGTCCATACAACAGTTTTTTTTACATTTTAAAAAATCTATAGCCGCTTCCCCCACCGCTGAAAAGGTATATATTATATGACATTATTTTTTTGTTATCATCTAAGCTTCGCAACCCAATAGGTCTCTATGACGCTCGAGTAAATCCCGATTTAGCATCGTGGGCTCCCCTACTATTAATATTGTTCGAGACAAAATGTATACAAATATATATAAGTTGAGAGGCCACGGTCAATATTCCGATTTTTAATTTTTTTTCTCAGAGATGTTTGTGAGCCTAATGGATAGATAGCTCCTGTTGCTCTTTTTTTTTAAAACAAATATTGACTCATTATTGGCTGCCGCTATTTTTATTTAGCGTTCAATTGAAGTTTATGAACTGTGAACCAAGACAATACTTGTGAGAGAGCATTGTTTACATCATCAATATTATATTTATTTCTGTGTCAATGTTAAATATTAACGAAGTGTCATCTGCAAACAGCACAACCTCACATAGTATTTTTTTTATTGTAAATAATGTATATATATTAAAAAAAGAAATAAACTTAATATAGAATTTTGTGGAACGCCTATTTTTACATGACACCCGACGACCTCAAACCATTTATATCTAGCTACGACAGCATGTTTTTGAGCAGAACCTTTAATACCGTAATAATTCAGTTTAAACGACAGTGTCTGTTGTTGAACGCAATCGAATGCTTTGGACAGGTCGCAAAACACTCCAGGAGCGTTTTGCGATCCCTCCCATGCTTTAAATCTATGTTTTAGAAGCGCTACATCCGCATCTGTTGTCGAACGACCCTTGATAATACGGTATTGCTTAGTATGCAAAAGTTTGTTGGCATTAAAGTAGTATAAGAGTTGCTCCAGAATTATTATTTCCAAAAATCTAATTTAGTGTTAGTACAATTGAAATGGATTCTGTTTATTATCAACTTTAAAAAGAGAGATTATTACTGAATTTCATGAGATCAGGGAAAATACCCTCATCAATACAGTGGTTGAAATTATCAGCGCGATAGCGAGCAATTATGTTAATTGTATTTACTTATATACTCCATAAGTCACGTGTAGTTTTTTATTTTTATTGATTTGAAGCCTTTTAATAACTTCTAATGAATCAATATATTTGAACTTAAATAAGGTATTACATTTTGGTACACATTTCCTACATAACCATTGCATTGCTGCCTCCGGCGAAGAATTCAAATTAAAAGTTGTCTCGATCGGTATATTTATGAAAAAAAAAGTCATTAAAAATACTACCAATCACTTCAGGAGTTTTAATAAGTCAATGTCTATTTTTACCAGTTTCACTATTGTATTTATTAATATCAAAAAATAAAAATCTTTTTTTTTTGTGTATGACATAAAGGGTATGAAATTACTGATTTTGCACTAAAATTAAAACTTAATTTTTACCTTCTAAGATGTAACATATTTACTTAATCAAAATATTTTGCCTATATATTTTTGCCATTTAATAAGACGTAGAAACTTGTACAAATCACGAAAAATAAATAATTGAAAGAAAAACAAAAACCCGACTGCGTAAAAACGAATTTTAAAAAATACATGAAAAAATTAACTTAAATAAAAACTAGGAAGAAAATAACAAGCCCAGTAGTTTAGAATGGGCCCCTACTGTGAGTGCCCATCCTAGCGTGATGTTAACCTGACACTGCCTAAAGGAGAGTCTATAAATGTCACATTTTTTCTTTCGCGGCTTGCGTAGCATTTTTACCTTTTTTATAATAAATCAAGTTTATGTAGAAGACAGGAGTCCAAACTAGATAGACCCCGTTCTATGGCACTCCTGGCTTCCACCTCTCGAATTAATAAACACAGTGTCATTTTTAAAGAAAAGATTTCTAAACATTGAAAAGCAAATAAAGTATCACCTCCAAGTGTGATGTAGAGTGAGACCGCATGCAAGCGAGTGGGCAGATGGATGTGTGCTTGTGTGTAAGTGTATGTGTTTATAGTAAGAGTGTGTGTGTATGTGTGTGTGTACGTACATATAAACGTCCACCCATTTCCATATCTATTAAATATTTAAGCCTTAATTTTTCAAAATATCTTCAGTTTCATTGTAATTAAGACTTAGAAGGTATGATGTTACTACATCCTTATAAATTATGCCTTGTCGTGGGATATATTTCCAGCAATCTGTTGAATTGACTGTATAATTTACCACACAAAAAGGAAAGAAGTTGTAAGCGCAAGATGTTCTAGGAGCACGACTGGAACAGACAAGTGTCTCCTTCTAGTTTTGCACCTCGAATGACCTCGAAAGAAAAACGAATTAAAATCACATATTTTCCTATTTTGAATTCGGATTTATCTTCTTACGGGCAGTTGCACAAACGTCCATTAAGGTTTAATGACGCCTTTAAGCTCTCATGAATGACAAATTTGTATGGGTAATTTCGCTTTAAACTAATGACAATTTGAATGGACATTAGTGCAAATCACTGTTAAAAATTAAATATTTTAATGATACCGAAAACAGCCAGATACATGCGGTAAAGCCAGAAATACTTTTTTACAAGTTTATGCATACTATATACGAAAAGACTTTCCCCAACCTAATATATTTATTAATTGCCTATTGTAAAATATACGTACATATTATTCGGTCCATGGTCACGTTAACATAGCTACCATCTCTGTACCCGATAATATCAAAATTGGCGATCTTCTTTGAGTCGTATTATGAGTGGCTTTATAATTTTTTATGAAATAATTTTTCTATTACATATTTTTACGTTAATATTTTATTGTAATTGCTTTTTTTTGGAGAACATTTACGTTCAAAATATATTTAGGATATATAGCGATACTCTCCATATTTGGCACGCATAACACAGTAAACAGCGTCCAAATTATTAGTCAATTAATACTATAGTTTTTACTGGAATTTTATTACATTTGTAACAGAAATAATGATTATTTAATTTTACATGAATATTGTATGTTTGATTGTTCACAATATTCATACGTTATTTTATTTGTGTCAGATGGAACGGGCCAATCGTAAGTACATTCTGACGCAAGGGCCGCTAGCGTTCACGGTCAGCCATTTCTGGTTGATGGTGTGGGAGCAGAACAGCCGCGCCATCCTGATGCTGAGCAAAATCATAGAAAAGAACGAGGTGAAATGTCACTGGTATTGGCCGCACGGCACCGGCGAAGACCACAAGATGAACCTCCCTGACGTCCAGCTCACCGTGGAGCAGCTCAGCGAAGAAGACTTCACTTACTATTCCACTAGAGTATTCAAGTAAGACATCTACATTTGTATTGGACTAATCTCTATCCAGATATTGAGGTGCCGAATAGTCTGTTAGCGAAATGACGATTAAAATTTATGTTACAAGTTACTAATGATAATTATGTTTTATTTTTAAGATTTATGTGCCCAGATATTTAAATTTATGTCAGTCAACGAATTCCTGTACAGATATTTAAAAATGCCATTATTTTTACTGTATCGACACCGACTATCCTTTTATTTCAGTAAATACGAGGGTCAAACTGAAAGTTCTTAGAACTGGCCACTTATAAACAATATAATAAAAAAATAATTCTAAAATTTGAAAATATAACTCTTTGCCAATATTACTGAGTATATATTTCATTCATTTGTCATTTGTTTTACGATTTGGCGGCAAATTGAAAATTGTCTGTGTCACGTCATCATGAATTTAACACGAGAAAATTTTCGTGCAATGATTTTTTATGACTTTCGATGTCATTTAAGTCAACAAGAAAGTTATGATAGACTACGATTGGCCTTTCACGATGAAGCCCCATCTCGTGCGACTGTTTACAACTGGTTTAATGAGTTTAAACGTGGTCGCACTAATCTCACTGATGATTTACGCGAGGGACGGCCTTCTACGGCGACGACTGAAGATAACATCTGTGTTGTGCGGCGTATGATAGAGACTGACAAAAGAGTGACCTATCAACAGATTCGGACAAGCTTAGGCATCGGTATGAGTCAAGTGCACAAAATCCTCCACGAACATTTAGCGGTCAGGAAGCTTTGCGCCCGGTGGATACCTCATAATTTGACTGAGGTGAGAGACCCCTAAGGACGAGTGGGCAAAGTGCTTTTCCCAGTGGTTCCATCGCATGCAGCGGTGTATTGACGTGAATGGACAATATTTTGAAAAGATATAATAAAACTAATAACTGGCTAATGTAATCAGTTTTTGATTTTCTAAGAACTTTCAGTTTGACCCTCGTATACACATAAACTTAATGAATCTTACACGACTCGACGGGGCGCGTGAATGCGCCACGCGGTATGTTTTGAGACGAAACTAAAATGTTATATCATAATTATAATAATAACACCAGAATTGTAAAATAATAATTATTAAATTATAGCGAGCAACATTTTTAGTTGACTTGTTATCGTTAATGTATGTGGTCTGTATTCAAATGGGGTCGTCGGTACTGTACGTACACTCGATGAATAATATAAAATATTGTATCATGCGAAATCCATATAAAATATTACGACCTTCATGCGTAGTGTTGCGATCGATTTATGCCATGCCATGTCGTGCCATGTCATGTCATACTACAAATATGTGACACACGACGAAAGTGTTGCGCTCCAGAACGGTCGTTGCATTTTCTTAATCAAAAGATTATTCAAATAAAGTTGAGATCTAAGCTATCGTGAAAATACTTGTAGATTTAAAAAAAACCCTTTTCAAACACTATATTTCTGCATCTATGTGATACATCGGATTCGGTATCTCGCTCGATATCCGCATCGTAATAGAATTGAAACGATTAAAGCGTTTGGATTTCTGAGTGAGATTTGGAGTTAACGTTGTTTCCATACTTTTGTGTATGCTTTGCCACATTTTTAATAGACTCCATTTTGTGAAGAATACGAAGCATGCTTGTGAACGAGCATGCTAGTCAATCGCACGTGGGTCTATTTTCCCGCGCTAAATGAGCAAGTGTGAATGTGGCGTTCTGATTGATTTGTTTAGCTACTTGTTTGCGATTGCGTTCACGATGGCTTGCAATTACCGAATACCGGTCGATTCACACATATATAGTTTCAATAAATTTGTAGTTAGTCTCAGAAACCGATATTGAATATCGATATGTAGTTTCGAATCGATATTGTGAAAGTCCGATATTACCAACTGCTATTATAATATGCCTACCCAAACACACTGTCCCAAAAAAGATTTGTAGAACCGTAAAAAATGAAGGTTTCATAAAAGCGATGTATTAAGTGTAAAACAATACAATTTGATTATAGATTATGTTTTACAGATACAAGTGAAACTATACCGCGATATACAAATAGTGTAGCGCTATCTAGTAGCCAAAACAGTTACTATTCATTCTTAACATTTACCGAACAAAAATCATTGCCAAGAACTATAATATGCTGTAACACTTAAAGGTATTTTTTATAGAATTGTAATTTTCACAATTTATTTCTCTAAAATTAATAAGATTAAGAGATGCTCGATAGGGTATTCTACTCTATTTGAAATAATACCTGTAACTGTTTATTTTAATTAAATAAAGCCGTAAAACAAATATTTCCGAAAAATTAACACGTTTTATTGCCTTAAAATTAAACTAAAATTTAAACAGATGCTATAGAGTAGAAGATTAAAAGATGTCACTAAAACAAAAACAATGCCATTTAACGATTGATTTCGAAATTAAAAGATATAAATGAGTTAAGAACAGCGCCATCTAGGAATTCAATTTATAATTATATATTCGATTAGATCGGACCTACCTATTTAATATTGAGTGATAAAATTCTGCTGTAGAACTGTGACGATAAAGTTTTTAAATTGATGCCTTATGATGTTATGCTTAAAGATTATGCATAAATATAATTAGGACAAACAAAATTACGTCATATCAGAATGTTTTATGCAAATGAATAGGAAACGTATGTTATACCGAACGCGGAAACTGGTGGGCCTTCCACTCGAGTAATGACACGCGGTAACCCCGCGGTAGAAGTTAAATTAGTTAGTGTGCAGATGCACTAGTAGGTGTATATCGAATACAGTATGTTGAGGAGGACGGTGATGTCCGACAGAATGGTAGACCTGGTGAGCGGCGAGAGTCGCGAGGTGATCCAGTACCACTACACGACGTGGCCGGACTTCGGCGTACCGTCGTCGCCGCACGCGTTCGTTGAGTTTCTGACGCGGGTGCGCCGGTCCGGCGCGCTGGAACCGGACGTGGGGCCCGCGGTGGTGCATTGCAGTGCCGGCATCGGCAGGTCGGGCACCTTCTGTCTGGTGGACTCGTGTCTCCTCATCGTGAGTATATTGTATAAAGTATAAAATTGCCGATTTGTACTGAATATTAAAATTGATTATTTTTTAACAAATTTATTTAATCAAAATAGTAACCATTATTATCTATACATTGCTGCCATCTAATAGGGAGGTCATTTATGCCTTTGCGATGGAACTATGAAGATTTAGACTGCACAAACTATGTGTGTACTGCCTCCTGGAAAGAAAACTTCTTGTCACGTAGATAATTGTCCAAATCACGAAAAATCCTGGTATTATATGGTAGTCCGTTGGAGCAAGGTCTGGCGAATACGGAGAATTACGAAAGATTTCTAACTGCAGTTCCTGACGGGTCAAAACGGGTTTCTCGTGCTGTATGATGTCTCGCGTTGTTATAGAGCAATAATTGTGAAGATCGATTCATGAGTCGGTGTTGTTTTGCTGTTAGTTTTGCCAACATTGTTCGGAGTTCGGCACAATAGACATCTGCCGTTATTGCTTGACTCAGATCAGAGAAAACTATAGTGAATAGATCACCAAACGGTTAACATTACCTTTTTATTGGGAAGTTTTGCTTTAGGACACGTTGTGGCGTTTGACCTGGGGTCAGCCATTACATTTTTCTTTTACGGTTATCATTAGCAGACCCCTCTCCAAACGCAACATTGATATTGCAGGCTGTTTCTGCCGCGTTACTTCCGCTTCGGAACTCGTGTATAAAAATCACTCGAATTTTCGCAGTATCCATCTTTCTTGTCTAAAGGCCAGTTTTTTGATCCGTAGTCAAATGTCATTTCACCATTTGTTAACTTGACTATAGTTAAAACATTAACCAGTTGTTAACCCGCTATTTCGTTTTTTGATGCCGAATTAAACCATAGTCAAATTTGACCACTGGTTAATTTGTTGCCTGCACAATGACGCGTTCTTTCGCTATACATTGACATGGGTAATTTTTTTCTGGGTGACAACACTAACGGTTTGAATGAACGGAGCGAACTATATACCATTTTGTTCCAAATATCAAATAGACAAAAGAAATCTGTAGATTACCAGTGTGGATGTTTATTGTTGTTCTGTTGGTCTTTTGCACAATGTGTTATTTTTCATGAAATAGAAGGCAATTTCTTTAATAATGTTAGAAAGCAACAAAAGATAAAAGAAATCGAGTTATTTTAAACTTAACTTTTTTATAAAAAAGCATATATTTGTTTTTTATGTATCTTATCTTTATCTTATAGAGAAATACGTGAAAAGAATATAGTATCTAGTATCCAAAGTGGGAATGTGATGTTGGAAAATAAATCGAGGAATATGTATCTGTCGGCATGTTTACCTTTTGTATTGTCTATTCGTGGATTTTATAAGATTTTTAATAATTGAATAATTTGGCATATGCCCGTGGAAACAAGAAAACAAATTATTTTATATAGTACAAATATACTAAGGATGATTAAGATACAAATATAACTTATTTTCAATAACCCAAAACCCAAAACTGACAATGAATATTTTCCTATGAAATTGCGTCATAAAACGAAGTACAAAAAATAACTAATGTCCAAATTCACTATGGAATTATGTAGGTTACAAAAAAAAACGTAAATATCATTTTTTTTTGTGATAAAATAATGATAATGATTTGCTTAAACTAGCTTCCAGTGATGCCTAAATTTTTTGACCAATGGTTGGAATTCTGACAATTGGTTAGATTAACTATTAATAATAACTATTAATATTTTTTGATCTGTGGTTAACTCAACCATTTGTTGAAATCTTCGACAAATGGTTAAATATTAGAAAAATATGTTTTTTTATTAATAGTTAACCTAACCAATTGTCAAAATTACAACCATTTGTCAAAAAATTTAACCATCACTGGAAGTTAGGTTAAGTAAATGACCAATGGTTAAAAGAACAGATGTACAACTGCGTTGTATTTACTTGGTTATATTACGATGCCGAAAAATGTTTTTACTATTATCAAACTATATGTATACTGCTGATTTTGATGACATTAAAAAGGTTAACTTAAAATTTGTTAAAATATACCTATAGTTGTTTTGCTAAAATATATATAATTGTGAAGAAATTCGATACAAGGAAATAGCAGGAACATGTTTCTATGAAAAACGTTTAATATATTTTTAAACTAAGCATTTCAAGATTAATTTGTGAACTGATTTGTTAATTTTTGGGACCCACTTCGAGGTAACTCTTAGCTGTCCTAGAGAAACAGTGCTAGGCATAGTTACTGGTAATGCTGGTTGGCTGCCTTTGGTTGCATTCAAGTTTCGTATTGACAAAGAAACTATAAAACTATTGTATATGTATACAAGAACTTAAAGGCCGAATTTTAGTTTTTCAAAATATTAAAATCGTTGATCTATAATTTAGCAAATATGAAAGAACTGATTGTTATTATAGGCTACGTGACCTGCGTATGATGCAGTCCCAGTTGCATCTAGTAGTTTCGGAACGTAGTCAGTGCAGACAATCATATCTTTCCTCTCTATAACATTAGTACAGATGGAAGCACTTCAATCATACTGCACCTACGAGCGATATGAGATCACGTGTACCTACTGTACTGAGAATGTGACTTAAGAGTAGGTAATGGAAAAAAATCCTTAAGAAATAGCAAATGAGCAAGAGGGGGCTTTGTAACAGAGTTTGCGGGGCTTCCGAACCGCACTGAAATTCGAGGTAACGGGAAGTCGGACTAATTTCAAAATGAAACTTTATGCAAACAACAGATTTGTTTGCAACTTTTTACATTTTTATTTCGTTACTCAACAAGGATATGAAAGCGGTTTTATTCTATTGAAATTTTATTTTGGTAAACAATCTAAATGATGGCGAAATAAATATAATTTTATCGTCATTCCGTAACCAAGTTTCCGGTCTCCGTAGGTCGGTTGGTCTGCGGTGAAACGTGTCCATGGACTTTCAACATAGCACCAGTGAGCTGACCGTATCTACTGGGTAAAATAGACATAAATTCCGACATTACTTTTACCAAAATTTGTTAGGTGTTTTACACTTGCCATGTTTTTATTCATGATCATTTCGGCTTTATAAGTGGAGTGTTGGTTTGGAGACTTAGGGTTTTTAAATAAAATGTGGATTTGGGAGGATGAGACCTGTCATATTTTGACGACTCCATTTGTATAACTTGAGTCTAGGATGATAAACAAACTATATAACTAACTGTCTTGTGTTCTGCATTTCCTCGGGTCAATAAACAGATCGTGCGTTATGGTTACGTGGACATGACAATGATAATCGTGAAATATTGTCAAAAGGAAAAGAGGACGGGCTGCCGGTCACGTAAGGATATCAATTAAATGATAACAATCTTTGAAAAAAAAATAACCTCTTTTTTAAATACTTTTCCCAACCTTGTCAGTCTGCTGCCCATTTTTACTAAACTTGGGAGTCGTCAGATATACGCCTAAATATTTGGGCATCTCTAACTTTAGGTAACGAATAGAGTTAGGCCATGCATTTGTAGCTCTGGGCATGTACGTAATGTGACATATACATTTACTCTTCAGCTATAACGGATGTGTCAAGGAATAGAGTCAATTTAGTAAGTTGGAATCAAGGAAATGAAATGAAATGAAAATATCTTTATTCAAGTAGGCTATTACAAGCACTTTTGCGTCGTCCAAAAAAAATTTTCCCCTACCACTTGTTCAGGTCGTCTTTTAGCTGTAGTGTAAGGAGTTTATATATTTGAATTAAGATATAAACAATTTTTTTTTTTTGAGTATTCACTCTTTTTGTAAATAGACGATGAAGAATTGGGTGCTCGTTTAAATACACAACCACGTATATCTATTTCTTGTTTGATTACCTTAAAATATACAATTTTGTAATTGTCTTTACGTGTGAAGGCCACTAAAGTGACATTGGTGGAATAGGGATGACGAATGGGTTAACAAAAAAGATATTCTATTTAATCTGCCAATCAGATAATAGTAAAATATTAGATACGTATTGTTTTTTACTTCAATTTAACAAGAAATAGCTTAAATTTCATTTAATGTTTACGAAAAAAAATTAAAAGTACATGTTTAATATTTTTCAACAATCAACCTAACGAACAAACAAACAAAAATTAGTCGTCATCCCACAATAGTACAAACGCAAATATGCCATACATTAAAAAATAAGAAGAGTAACTGAAGCATACAAAATCATAGTAAAACGTTGCATAATTAAGCAAGTGTTAGGTAAGGCATTAATTACCTAACATTACACGTTTGGTGAAACGACAAATGTTCTTAATCTATTCTCAATATTAAGTGATTTCTACTTAAACTGTATTGTTCTAGGTTTGTGAAAACGGACATATGTATTTCTATTATAAACAGCGAAATAATGTTTTGTTTTTTCTGGGTTCTTGTGCTCGCGAACTATGTGTACCGCTCAGTATACTGTTTAATAAATCCTTGGGTTCGGGTACTTTCCATCATTATAGAAAAAGGCTTCAATGATAACTATTTTCAAGACTGGCGACAGATCTGATTGCTTGCTCAAAATATTGACCTATAAGTATTCTAATCTTAATTGCTAAAATGTTTGAGTTAATCGTGTGTGATGCTCTCTATAGTCACATAGAAACAATGATCTCTACCAAGCGGCACGGTTCCGTAAGCAAACAATCAACAATCAGCAATTTATTAATATATAAAAATTATTTATGTTCGTATTTGCTAAGTGCTAGCGGGTTGACTCGGTCTATACGGATTTTTGCAAGGCTTCTGATAAGGTTTTAGGCTGTAAAGGCCTTTCTATCATCTTCTATTATTGCAACTTTGGAAGTTTCACAGGGTTTACACTTGGATCCGTTGCTTTTCATCATTTTCATTAATGACTTGATAGATAGATTGTCCTGTGCTTCACCAATGTGCTTTTTGAATCATGTTGAATTTGTAATAATTGGTTATTTTATTAATTTGGATATTGTAGTCACTGATAAATATAAAATTTTAAGATTAATTTGTAAATTTATTGTGATTAATTGAATATAATCTAATTCTATTCTTTATTTTATGCATGCAAAATATAATATAGTATTATGTA